AAGCAGTACAGCTTTGAATCTCCTCAATACTTAAAACTCAAAACAAGTACGCGCAGACTGGGAGGAGCAGTCGCACGCAGTTCAACGTCACCAGACTAATCTTCCCGGTACTTTAGTCCACGGTGTAAACGCAGTGAGCAACCGTTCTGGGGCAAAAAAAGTTCCTATGAAAAAAGTTCCTGGGACAAATAGTTCCTGGTAATTGCGGTGGAAACGCGGCTTATGATGCCTTTCAGTAAGTATACTGTATCTTTCAACATACCTTCGGGTGTCCATTCATGTTTATTCTGTAACTGAGGAAGAGATGATCGCGCTCCGCGCTGCCGCATGCATACAGTGATATCTGTCACGCCACATCTAAGAGCGCCAAAACGGCATTTATTGTTTGCATTTCGTGATCAAATAGACATAATTTGAAAGATTACACCTTGCTTATTATCAAAAGTAACAAAACACTGAGCTTATTGCGATTATATGTGGTTAATGGTGGTTAGGCAACAGCCCTGTATTCGTTGTGTACACATAACACATGAGGTGCAATGAGCCGGGTCTGGGCGGGGCAGCAGGGGGCGGGGCGTGTTCGGTTCGCCATGAGAGTATCGCGATACGTATCGTGGGTGGTGTATCGCGGTTTTTCGGTTCGGTTCAAATATCGTTACACCCCTAGTCAATAGTTCTAGGAACTATGAAAAGGTTCCTCCGGTGCGAAAGCCCCTAATACCAAAAAGAGAGAAACAATCAAGTCTGGCCTTGCCTTATGCTTTCTTTGATGGAGTTTCCCTTGTAGTTCTTAAGGTCGGTATCCAGCTTCTCCAGTTTGAGTAGGGCTTTTTTCCTGGTGGATTCTGCCCAGGCTGTGTCGAGAGGAGGGGGTTCAACTGCTCCCTCCGGTACTGCATCAGGGACACCTTGCACGTCCCTGTGATTGACAAATATTTTAAGTACAAACTTAGTCAAAGCCATGCATGCTATGTTAGAAATGTTAGAAATGGAACTGGAATTGCCTGGTGGCTTCAGTGAGTTTGCGATGGATTTCTTCATAGACATCAACATTAAAGGTTCTTTGGACAAAGGACAGGGCCATCTTCAGTGCTTCCACTCGTAGCTGGGGGCAGTGGTCTGCAATAAACTGCAGCCTCTCAATCCTCATCAGTCCACTGTAGCTGGAGGCATACTGCTCAAGATCCTGTACCGAAAAAAAACAAATCAAGTCACAAAAAAATGCTCATTTCCACAATTTTTACATTTGAATTCAGTGAGCATTAGGTAAGTGCAAAGGTAAACCAGTATTGTGACTGTTGAAACTAAAACTACTAAACTAAAACAATTAAAAATTGCCTTTGTCAACTGAAATAAAATACAAATATTAGATGAAAAGCTTTAAAAAATCAAATAAAACTGAAATATAAATAAATTAAAGCTAAATAGACAAATTAATTAAAAATAATTCAAAACAATAAATTAATAATATAAAAAATGGCAAAAGCACATATTAAAAAAAAAAATTAAATAAAAACAGAAAATACAAAAATAAAAGCATATTCAAAATATTTATAATTACTATAATAGTATATAAAATAATACTAAGATAACACTGAGGTAAAGTAAATGTTCAATAAAAGTAATACTGTAATGTCAAATCAAATGTAATCTTTAGCAAATCTCAAAATGAAAACATTTCATATTTTAAATTATAATGCTGTGATGCCTAAATGTGTTTTTTATTTTAATACAAAATATTATAGAATTTCTATATCAGTGCATCTCTACCAAAAGAAGATCAAAGATCAAAACACCAAAAGAACTTAGCTTCTGAAGGATATTTTGTTAAAAATAATTTAAAAATAAGGATAATGCTTGCTTACGAACAACAACTTATGGAAGCAAATACACAATTGTATGGACCATTAAACACTTCAAATGATACAAGAGTCCATCAATCATAAACACTCAACATACCAAAGTCGGGTTTTCCACAACATAGTTGGTGTCAGGCGCATTCTGCTGGTCTTCCTGAGGGTCAGCATCTATCTGCATGGGCTCTACAGACCCCTGGTAATACAGAAAGCATTGCGTTTAACACACTGCACTGGAGAAATGTTTTCAAGTGACATAAACAAAAAGTCCTATCGAGAGCATGTAAAATATATGAAGGTCTGAGGTACATTTTGCCCTTACCACCAAACAAATCTTGTGTGGAAACAAAAACAATATCACAACACTGAGTGTTAGCTCCCAGGCTTTCAGATGGCTTCATCATCCTGTCTGCCTACATTGTGTGGTTACCTCCAGAGAATATGATGAGGAGCTCGAGCTGTACACACTGAATCGTGTGTGAAATTCCATGAACGGGTCAGACACGCTTCTTTGACAGAAGTAGTTCAGCTCTTCCCATGAGGATGAGGCTGATCTGACTGGCAAATACAAGCTTTCCCTGATCCTGCCCTGAACCTGCTCTGCAGCATCTCTCCGTTCTGACTGTAAACTCTCCTGCAAGAAGGTGCATGCTTATAAAATCACAATGGGCCGGCAGCAGCCTCGAGACAAAAACAAGTCAAAGTTGTTGAAATTAATACAAAAATATAAACCAACCAAATGGGACAATGTTTGTACTCTAGAAGCGAGGGTGTAAAGAAAGTCATTTATAGACGAAAGAAGTGGCAGCAAGATTACATTTGTAAACACTGGCTTCATAGTACACGCAACATTTTAATACTTGTTACCATATGCATGATTGTAACAACCAAAAACATTGAAGGGGAAACGTTCCCTCAAAATTCACCTCCCATGTCAATTTTATTAGGTTTTCAATTATAGATTCTTCAAAATATCTCTCGAATAAGCGGTTACATCATTCACCACATGCACTTTACTACACCCAACATTTTTTAAGATTACATCATGCATAATGAGACCTGGTCTGTCATTCTTGATCAACTACATTATAATGCACTTTTTTTTTTTACGACAGTCAAATACAGCTGAATGTATCTGGTGTTTCTAAAATGGAAATGTCACTTAAATTGTAAGCAGCTCCACAGTGTTTAACCATTTTGATTATGTGGTTGGAATTGAAATATTCAATGTTCTATATTCATCTCTGCAAGCAAATGATGGAGGCTGTCTCAAAATCTAGTGTGCTGCCTACCTAGACAGTATTTTACAGCACCATATGTAAGTGTGGAACATCTGAACGACGACTGAAATACTTTCTAGGCAGGCAGCACACTATGTTTTGAGAGACAGCCTGAATTTCAAGCACTGGCTAATTGATACAACAGACTGCTTGCTAACGAGATAGCTAGCTACATACACTTAGCCGGCTAAAGAAAGTTTCTACCCAAGTGTTTCACAAACAACCACGAGAAAACCAACTGGACCGCTTCGGGTGTAAACCAAAACAGCTCTGTTGGTTGTATTCATTGGCGAAACTACATTGATCAAGGTCCTCGGGCGAATAGTCGCGCGCTGCCGCTAAACTTGAGAAGTGCCTGTCGCATCCTGAGGGCCGCTCTGACTTACGAGCTCATGCTAGACAAGCTAACAGCTTACAACGGCTGCGAGAGGTGAGGAATTAACATTGTAAACATATGTACTTCAACTTGGTATGCTTCTTCTACCCGCTCTCGCGGTGTGGAAGATGACGATAAAGCATTTAAAGGCGCAGATTTACCTGAAAGTTAAAGACCTGCACGGGTAGTGGCATCTCCTCCTCCTCTGCAGAAACAGAGCACACAAACACATCCGGGGCATGAGAGTGCGCGTGGTCGACGTCTTGCAGCGCGGAGACGTCACTACATTGAGTCTTGATTTGAAATATTAATACAGGATAAAAACATATTTACACATTCTAACACGATTGGCTGGTTTTATACAACCGACCAACATAGCCTCCAAAAGCAAAAACATTTTTTTTTTAAATAAAAAAAAGTTTCAGTTGGTGAAAATGAATATATTAAATACAATTAGATGTTTAAAATAATAATGTTGTTAAAAACAGTTTTAATTATAAGTTGTCATATTTATTTTGTTTCATATTTGTAATGTGTTTTTGTAAAGTCAGAATTTTGTTATAATACTGTTATGATCTCTTTGAAATTTGCAATGGTTACTATTTACTATTTGTGATTGGTTTTTGGTGAATTGTATTAAAACCACATAACAATAGTAAGTGGAATTAACAATTAAAAAAACAAAATCATACAAAAATGTATTTATTTTTTAATTAATATTTAATAACAAGTGAGATATCAATTATATTTTGACCACTGAACTTGGAAATGTCCCCAGTTTCCTTTTCAGAAATCTGGTCACCTTAGTTTAAGTGTTGGTTATGTCTGGTTATGTAAGGGATATTGTACAATCAGCCGATAATTATCGAGTTTCTTATATTCCCCTAGAGGTGTTTATTTTCATATAATGACTGGTTGCCTGTACATTATCCCGCTTGTTACAGTTTCTTATCAAATGAATAAAAGACCATAGCCACAACCATCCCTTCAAAATGATGTCACACTCATACTAGTTTATTTTATGGCAAGAACTGATTATGTATGTGCCAGTGGTTTCATTTTCAGTCATTAGTTCAATAAAAACAAATATGCCTAATGCTAATGTATACTAACAAAACATAAATGTTCAAATGGCACACATAGACATTTTTATCTCGAACTTGAAATATTAATCATTTAGAGGTAAAATAACATTTCAAAGAAATATCTGAACACTTACAAGTGTTAAAACAATTTGACATGCTAGCACATTTCATCATGTTTCAAACATCAACACATATAGGAAAATGTTTAGCAAAAAAATAAGACACAACAATGACTTTTAAACAAGACGTACAGCCTACACAAAATGATTTCTATCGCAAGTTGCAGTGTGTAGTCCATTAAACATTACAGCCAATTCTGAGTACCGTTTATTTTAAATAGTATTAATTTTATTAACAGTATTTTATAAGCAAACAAATATTTCAGTGTGTATTATTTCTATCATTGTTTAATAAACCATCACATACAGTACATTCACAGTAAAACACAGGTACAGTATGAAATGTTAAACAGGCAATAAAAGCTGAAAGTGAAATACTTTAAAAAAGAATGTATTTACCGTCACCCCTCAAGTGAGAGCACTGACTATGGCCACACATTTAACTCGCAAACGCTATTCACAATATCTTCTGACACATTCACAGATCCCACACGGGAAAAGTACCTGCAGATAGAATATGAATAGCCACAATTTCCACATGAAAAAAGCTCTGAAAAATTTAACATTTGTTGCAACAAGGTAAGAACTTTACAGTTAGCTATGCTTGTTCTTTAATAACTAATTATTCTTTCTGATAGACATGCCATGGCCTTATGTCATTCTCTTCCAACATATTTTTGTTTTGAACCAACAATTTAAGGCAAAGTTTAATAATAACAAAGCAAATTTGGCATGTTGATATATCTGTTACATCAGATATACCATGGAAATATATGTCTGCAGTTCATCACCTCACAAGTTGGATTTATCTGTTCATAACAGCAGAGCTGAAGAGGAAGAAACCGCTGTTTACATGGCATATCAGTGAAGGAATTAGTTGTGGTGTTCCTCAAAATACAGTACACTTCTTGCCCCTCTTCTTTACAGGTGGAGGGCACAAAACAGCGCGGATGGCCTCATCAAACACGGTTTTTAAACCCCGCTGAGTAAGAGCAGAGCACTCCAGATACTTCACAGCACCTACAAAGCCAAAGAATCCAATGAGCCAACTATACATGATACAAAGCCCCAAGGCAATAGTGAAACATCATTATAGCACCATTAAAAAGTTTAAGGTGATTTTTTTCTTACCAATTTCTCTAGCCATGGCAAGTCCTTGCGGGTAAGTGATTGGAGCAAGTTTTTTATCCCGCAGTCGTTCAATTGTGTCTTTGTCATCCCGCAGATCAAGTTTAGTGCCCACAAGTATGATAGGGGTGTTTGGACAGTGATGGCGGACCTCAGGGTACCACTACAAAAAGAAACTTGGTTAACACAAGGCACCTAACACCTAGCGGATCTCATTAAGGGATGTCTTTGAAAATATTTTGTATTCTTAGGTGGATCCTTACCTTTGCTCTTACATTCTCAAAGGAAGCAGGGCTCACCAGTGAGAAGCAAATTAAAAACACATCCTGCAGAAAGAAAAAGGAAGCTCTTTGTAAAAATCATTGTCATCGATTATTCATTTCAGATTACATGGCACTATATGTAATCGTAGGCCTCGTTAACATGACAGCCATCGGCACAGATCCTCAGCAGAGACCACAAAAACCAGACAGGTCCTCAGCACAGACTCTATTGGCCAGCTTCGTCTCCATACTGGCATGATGAATCCCTCTTCAAGCAAAAGGAACTGGATGAATATATTAATGCTACCTATCCCAATCTGAATTCTGACTTGTTGTGATGCAGCCTGAATCATAATCACACCGTGTTCGTTCGTTGGCAAGAGGAGAACTTCATTAGTTGCACCAGGTGTGCTTGAGCTAGAACACATGTAATATCTAAACTGGCTAGGTTTGTTGAGTGTCACGTTTGACTGCATGTTAGAAATAGGCTATGGCTAAGTCAAATCATTAAATGCTGCAAGAGACACTGTTGGAAGCATAGTTTGCAAGTTCAAAGTTAAAGGAACAGTGGTTACACTACCTGGAAACCTGGAACTACCAGAAAAAGGAAGCTATCAATGGCTGCAACCAGTTTTCTGAGAAGGCAGGTTCAGAAAAACCCTCGAGTGACTGCAGAAGGCCTGCAGCAAGACTTGGTGGAAACAGGCACTGAGGTTTCAGCTTGCACAGTAAGACGCGTACTAAACGCATGCCAGAACTCCAAGACGTACACCAGTACTGATCCAAAAGCACAAGAAAAGTTGGCTCCAATTTGTTCAAAATCATATAAATAAGCCACAGAAGTTTGGGGATTCTGTTCTGTGGAGCGATGAAACTGGAACTTTTCGGCCCTATGGATCAGCGGTATGTCTGGATGAAGAAGAATGAAGCATATGCTGAAAAGAACACTGTCTACAGTTCAGTATGGTGGTGCTCGGTGATGCTCTGGCGCTGCTTTGCAGCCTCTGGCACTGGAAACCTGCAGCGTGTGGAAGGCAAGATGGATTCATTGAAGTATCAGGAAATCCTATGAGAAAACGTCATGCCGTCAGTGAGGAAGCTGAAGCTTGGGCGTCATTGGACCTTCAAAGAGGAAAATTATCCCAAGCATACCTCAAATTCCACTAAGGCTTGGTTGCAGAAGAAGTCCTGGAATATTCTACAGTGGCCATCACAGTCACCTGACTTGAACGCCATAGAAAATCTCTGGTGAGATTTGAAGGCGGCGGTTGCAGCGCGCAAGCCCAAGAATATTACTGAACTGGAGGCCATTGCTCATGAGGAATAGGCTAAGATTCCTCAGAAACTGCTAGAAGCTGGTGTGGTTATACATCTCGTTTGCAGCAGGTCATAATAGCAAAAGGGTGTTCTACTAAGTACTAAAGGGGCTTGCTATGAAAGGATTGAATAATTTTGAGACGGCAGAAGTTATTAAGAGTTGCATTTTCAATTGAATTTAGGGAAACCACTTGACACATTTGTTGTGTTAAGCTATTTCAATTACTTTTGTTTGATTTGTTCATTGCAAACACTTGAAAGTCTGTACATTTTGCCAATAAACCTAATTTACAATGGAGGTTGAATAATTTCGATTTCGAGTTAGCCTGTTTCCGCCATGGAATAAAAAAAAAATTAAAGGATAATTGCGAATTTTTATCTCTGAATTTTTCTCACAATTGCAAGTTAAAAAGTCAAATTCTGAAGAAAAAAAATACTGACTTTATTTCTCAGAATTATGAGTTTATATCAATAAACGGACAATTCTGACTTTATAACACGCAGTTGGAACTTTATATCACACAACTTCGAAATCACTAATTTTGAGATAAAAAGTATTAATTTTATTGTTTATTTTTTTATTCAGTGGCGGAAACAAGTTTCCATAGAATGCAGTCCCAGTAATTAGTAAAAGAAAAAGAAAAAAATTGTGTTCAAAAATACGTTTTTACAAAAAAAAAATACATGACTATACTCTGAGCTAAATTAGAAGATGATTATTGATAACTCAGGATTACAGAGCCAATAACAGAGATATTTAAGTACCGTTTGAGGGTATGAGAGTGGTCTAAGGCGATCATAGTCCTCCTGTCCTGCTGTATCCCAGAGGCCTAAGTTGACAGGTTTACCATCCACCATAACATTGGCAGAGTAGTTGTCAAACCTGAGGGTCACACAGATTTTTCAGAGCATTTCAGAAATACATACACAGAAGTAAACTGACACACACAGGCAGCACAGCCACACAGGAATAATTCCCAATTCAAGGTCTCAAACTGTACTCACACTGTGGGAATATACTCTCCCGGGAAGGCATTAGTGGTGTAGCTGATGAGCAGACATGTCTTACCCACGGCACTGAAATACAAAAGATGCTAAGTGCTAAGTGTGACTGCAGCACTCAAGTCAAGTCAAGTGAGTTTATATGTAGAGATATACAAAGGAACGAAATGTTGTGCCTCACAGGACAACGATGTTACATGCATAAACATATATAAATGCACATAGCCTATATTAAAAAGAGGTAATCTAACTAAACATATAAACATATACTCTGAACGGTCATACTGAGGGTTCAAGGACTGCACATTCACAGCACATCAAGGAAACAATTGTGAAAAGTCCTTTAGTTAGTCATCCAGACATCACGTTCACTCCCGGGCTCGATGGCACGCTGGCAGCAGCTCTTTAACAGCGCTGTTTTCAAATGAACTGCCCCACCGGATGAGGAGTGAATGCAGGATGACAGCTTCTTGTCATGAAAAACACACACTTACATATAAAGTGGAGTAAAGAGCATACACAGGAAATGCAGTGGCGGGGTGACACTGAATAAGGAAAAGTGATAAAAATTAGGAGTAAGAGTGAGGAAGCGTGATAATAAAAGAGAGGGGAAAGAAGAAGTGAACAGGCCAAAATAACAATTATGTTTGAAGGCTGAGAAGCCCGGCTGTGAAATGTGGTTGCCCATTGCAAATGACGGAAAGCATGTATCATCATGAGACAGGGACTAAACCCTTAATGGTTGCAAGATCAACTGCATCAATGAAACAGCTATTATTAATTCTCCACAGTCTAAAAGAAACTTTGAATTAATTAAGCATACATTTAACCAACACCATGATATAAATCCAAATCATATCAAATAGTAGAGATAATAAACAGTTTGACTGATTTTTTTCTTTCTTCTATCAGTCCTTCAATATAACTATTTATAATAACAATATCACCAAACAATAGCGTTGCAGCGCAGGTAAGTTAATTTAATTTTTTTTAATTATTCATAATTTTACAGAACAGCTATTCATGCTTATGACTTGTTACAGAAATGGTATTTTAAGCTAAAATGTTAGTATTATTTTGCTATTGTTACAAATTCATAGTTCATATTTACATTCTACTGTTGTAGTCTAATAATTATCCAGATTATTCTTTCAAAATAAAGCAGTAAGCAAAAATCAATGTTGCGTAGTGATTATATGACCACTTAAATATTAAAAATAACGGTATAAGTAATGTTAAAAGAAATAACATTTCACTTGATCTCTACCAAATACCAATTGCAATGCAGCTATTTGTTATTTCATTGTGGATTATCAACAAATGCGATTTTATGATGTGAAATTTTGCTCTGGTTAAAAATAAAGGAAGAAAAAAATAATTATGTGAAGGTTAATAATAAAGTTCAGGCTCACGAGCACTATGATTTAGGGGAGTGGATCATTTCCACTTTAGAGCTCTTGTGATGTAGGTGTAAAACATGACATCATAGCGTTTCCACGTACACGCGCATTATTTCCACACTGCACGAGATCCGTTTAATATCCGTTTAATACATTTTCTGCATGGTTTACAATACATTGTCATACTACTTTAGTGTGAAAAACATCAATTGAAACATTGAAAAAAACAGACAAAACGCCTGAGCATATTAAACAAAACGGCCACCGCCAAGCAGAGTCTGTGCTCATTACAATCTCATTTAAAACGATAATGAAAACACCTACAGTGTCTCGAAGAAAGACAGTAATATTTATAATTATAAAATTATCAATTTTGTCTGAGCTGAATCCACTCAACCGCTGTGCCAACCCCAAATCCCCAGCTCCTCGCAACAATTGCTTTTCTCCCAAAGAAACCTCCGTACAAACACGAGCAATTTTACCATTTATTCTTCAACATCTTACCCGTCGCCGACAACAACACACTTGATGGCTTGCATTTGCAGTGCACGAGTAGTATCCGACAAGCGATGAATCTGTAGAAATAGCCTGAAATGTGATGTTGAGGTGCCTGTGCAGCAGCAGCGGTCGGTGGCAGTCGGGGGTCTATCACGATACTTCCGAAAAAACACGAACAGAAGGTTCGTGCTTTTTCGGAAGTCTCGTGAGGAGCCCGTCTGCTTTTCTTCTCTCCTATTCATTTTAATATTATGATGCGTCTGTGCAAATATTCATGTTATAGAAAAAGTAAACGCTTCACATTAAAATGTAATTCATAAAAACACGCTTAGGCTACATATTTAAAGAAACTGGAAATAGTGGATGTAAATGCAAATGTATACACACCAGTGACAGGGTTAAGAGAGAACAACTGTCATTCCAGTGCCAGTTGGAATGACAGTTGTCGTGTTGAGTGTGGAGGCCAGGGTGGGGCAAAATGACAAAAATCTCCGGGAAAATCCCATTAATTCTCATGAAATTATGAAATAAAAGTCCTCAAAATATACATTTTAACAACGGGATACAGTCATCAATCCAGAATAACATTTCTGTCATAGAGTTCTACAAAACAGCCGCTTACATGATTTTATTTAGTAAAAGTGAACATTATTGCTGTACTTTCCCTGTTACACACAGTATATAGAGTGGAGTGAAAAGTGGGAATGATTCACAGGGCCTACAGGTAGATTTCAGCAGGATTGAAGTTTGATCCATTAGGATTAATTCAATGTATTTGATGTCACAATATGTAGTCTAATAAACAAATCATACATTGTGGGATGTAAGTGTTAATATTTGAATCTGTAGTCCTTGAGAGACATACTGCAATAATACATCAGAAATACTTTTGATGTATGAAAACAGCACAGAAAACACAAGACGCTTACATATTCAAGAATTAATCATTTTATTGCTTGACCTGCCATTGGGACAATCTATACCAAAAGGTTTACAACTTGAGCACATCCAATGAAATCAAACCGTACACAGTTATACAAAAAAGCATAATAGAAAAATGGTCCCTCGACCTTTTACAACTCTGTGTTGAGGGCTTAAACTGAAGAATGGGTGAACAGGAGTATCTACGCTCTGGTGGCTTATGAGCAAATATCAATTCCTCTGTACTTACTAGAACACAATTTTACTGAAAACTCCAGAAGAAAACACAATTGGCAGTCACAACCAGGGAATGAAAAGCAGGCTACAAAAAAAGGGGGTAGAAGTTGCTAATACAAACATATTTCCAGTGACCACTGAATGATCTTCAAGAAACATGCATGGCCTGAAGTTGTTTTAAAAAAATAAAATAAAATAAAAAGGTAAGCAGAAAATTTGCAGAGGAACAAAATCATTTAATCCACTCATAAAGGGGAGAGAATTACAATAAACAACAATGATGCATTTTACAGAAAACTTTGTCATCAAATGAAGTTAAATGAACAGACCAATGCATATATGAGCGATAACAAGTAGACTAATCCGCAATTCTTTGCCTATCTTCGGGTGTCACAGTTTAACAATAAGGATGTTCATAATAATATAGAATTTCAACATGTTCATTTATTTAACCCCATCATAAGGCATAAACCAGTCATTGAAAAGACAGTGGAACGGTTAATCAAAAGGCTATTTGGAATCCCCTGTAATTAAGGGTGCAAATTCTGTGTTTTTAAAGCTACAGCACCAAGATTTTCTGAAATTCTAGTCTAGAGGGGCAGGAATCTGTGAATGTCAGAAAACATCTTATTTTCCTAGACATCTGCACTGACATGCTGTAAGGCTCTCAAATCAAGCATCACAGTAAAGTGACAACAATTCTCCCATGTGGTTATAGGACAGAGTCAGATATTGAAGATAAAAACACACTAAATATAAGTCTTTCTTTATAATATCTGTATAATATCTTTCTTTAATTAACATAGCAATTTTGGGACAGTTCTGTGCAAACTCTTAATTACTGGAGCTTTAAGTCTGAATAAATTACACTGCTAAGAGGATCTGGATATACAGATGAAATAAAACATTGTAGATTACAAATAATACAGGTGACAAGCTATTAGAATATTAATGAATATATTAGGGGGAAAAATAACTACAAGAAAATGTCTGTTGGCTTTGCATTATGAGAGTAAAGAAATCAGGCACTTTTCAAAACCCAAATTTGCTTTCAATAACATGAGTCTGTTGTACAAATGAGCTGGATATCTGTAATTACATAACACAAGATGTGTGGAAAACAAAAATAAAATTCACATCAGTTTTTCCAAATAATACAAGAGTATCTCTGTGCGATAATTAAAATCTACCTTCAGCAACTGTTAACACTATTGTACCACCCAGTAAAACACAACTCGGAGAACTCGAAGAACAATATCTGATAGGAGATGGTGGCAGTAGTGGATCGCAAATCGATTTCCAAACATTTGATGGATCCCAAACCTAATGGCATACAGACACCATGAACTCAACACAAGCGGCAAATACTGTCCCTGTTTTAAGACTTTCATTTGACTATATAGGTAAGGTGAATAATCTAAATCTCAATCTAAAAACAACAGTGGTTATTTGAAAACAGGTTTTCTTAGACCTGCCCTGTTTATTAACCAGACTATTTCAGTTAAAAAATTTTTAAAAAGACATTTGGGGTTTCGAAGCAGTTCACGTACACTAATCGAGAAAGAAACCCTAATGGGATCTTAATGGGTCAAGGAGGTCACCAAGTAGTTACTTCCTGTTGAGGATTCTCACATACTCAGTCAACAAAGCTTCAGATTTCATTAACCATTACATTTCTGTAACCTCTTAACAATTAAACAAAACATACAAATATAATATCTTTTCTGTATATATATCCGCCAAAAACACAATGTTGAATAAAATAAGATTACATCACCTTTGTGTGGTGGAAACAAACAAACAAATAAAAGCATTTAAAGCATGTGGCATTTCAGAAGGGAGAAAATGCGAGAGAAAAAAGAAAAGAAAAACAAAACTTTAAAAGGAGATTTAACTAATCCTGGTCTGTTCTAAATAAGAGTCCAGAGCAAGCCTGTGTGTATAGCAAAATGGCCAAAAGAAATTGAAAAAAGCCCAATGCAAAGGGATCAAATGCCACAACGAAAAACAGCAGGTGTATATAAAAGCCGTTTATATATATATATATATATATATATATGTTTATATATATATATATATATCAAACTGTGCAAAAAATATGGTTATGGTCATTTACTTCTAATATATAATCTTTTACATACACTATATGTGTGCAGTTATAACAATAAAAGAGCAAAGCTGATCACCATGATAAACATGGTGACAATTTAACTTCAGTACCCCCAAGAAAACAATATAACACACATGAATTTATGCCTTTGGCTTCCCTATATTCAAACGCTTGAAATGAATGAAGGAAAACTGATTCTGAAACTCGATGGCTCAATTAAGATACATCCTTATATACTGAGTAAATACACTACATGAATATCAGTCCTGCCACTGTTTTCCTTCCATTCCAAACACTGTTATACAGAAACATGAGGCAATTTGGATGCAAGAGAAAATCCCGATAGTTATTTCAACATCTGTCCACATGACAGGCATCTGTGGCACAACGATTGGCTCGTTTCTCAGGCAAAACTAACAATCAGCCTTATGGTAAATCTAGGATGGATACAAATGCGACAGGGTACGGCACAAATCGAAAAAGAAAAAAAACAGACTGACAGGGAGAGAACACTGAAGTGAATGGGCACCTGGGTGTTGGAAAATGCATAAAGAAAAGTAAGAAAATAAAGCGAATTTGCATTGGTGGACCCTGCAATTGAGGAGGTAAGAGCCTAGTGTGGCTCAGACCGACAGAGACACGAAGCTGTTGTACTGCTGTATGTTTCTCTTCAGGATATCGGAGCAGGGGCCGAGCACGCGTTCGAACCTGGGACGGTCAAGTTTTACGCACTTCAGAGGGCCGCGAGCAACCACGGTGGCAGCACGAGGCCGGTTCATGAGCAGAGCGATCTCACCTGATGAAACACGTGGAGGGAAATCAGAAAAGAGCAACAGAGAAACAAACACATTAAGGTGCGCTAATGGACACTGTACATGGAGTCAATAGCCATGCTGTCGTGCTAGTGCGTGCCAGGGCCAGTGGCGTTTCCACTGCCACTTCTGGGGCTTGATCGGCCTCATCGGGGCTTCCTCCAATGGCCAGGGGTTTTTGGCACAGCGAATACCTTGGTCCAAAGTGGGCCAACTGGGGCTTGAACAAAGGCGGAGTTTCCCTGAGTCAGGTGAGGGTCAACGCCACCGCTCATTCCCATGTTATAATACCAGACTATCAGCTAACCTCAACATTTAAGACATTTAAAACAATTTTCAGCTCAAAACTCACTTTCAGGCACCAGCGAAAGTTTTAAAAACTTCTGATTGCGATCTGATGGTGATTCTGAACACCTTATGATGCAGAAATATATTTATGCAATGCTAAAGGCTACTTATGCTAACCATTGCAATAATAAATACATATATGATTATGGAAAATACCAGAGACTGCTTGATGAATGTAGGCAAATCATACATGATGCAGACGGGCTTAGGACCGTCCTCGGCAGAGTCTTTAAGTAAAGACTAAAGGTAGCGCTGCGTGGCTACTGGCCCGACAGTGGAAATGCAGGTCCGAGGCTATTGGCCCCGTCGGCACGTTGTTAGTCCTGGCTCGTACTGGCCCGACAGTGGAAAAGCAGCTAATATGTAATTACATTAACAAAGGAATTTCTGGGATAAGACTGGGATAAGCTTTCCAGAGTAAAGAGAAACACATTTACCGAAGTAGTCAGATGGTGCGAGTCTTCCGACCTCCACAAATTCCTCATTCTCCGACCGCCGCTGCAGGACTGCTGCCGAGCCCTGAGGACACAAGTCTAAATCAATACATCTATTCTCCCATGATGATCTCATTATTTACTTGTGTTTGTAATTGTGCATAAATGTGAAGATAAAAAAGTATACAAAACCATATGACTCTAATTAACAAAGACTTGTTGATGAGAACGGTGTAAAAAAGAGCATGGAAAGCTACCTCAAGGATAATGAAAAACTCATCTCCCGGTTGACCCTGGACAACAATCTTCTGGCCATCTTCAAACTGGACTGTCTCGAGAGCGTCAGCAACCGTCAACCGTTCCCATTTATCCAGAGACTCTGCTCACAGGATGTTAGCATGTCATCACTGAGCACTTCACAAGATTTGCTTACAGCATTATTAAGCTGCATTTTTTTTTACACAGTTTACTATGAAAACAAGCCTGCAAATATACATAACCTAAAAAGAAATGCATTAAACTCACCCAAAATGGAGACCTTGCTAAGGAATTCCTCATACATTTTTCTCTTTCTCAGAGTACTTCCCTAAACACAGAATAAAAAAAAATGTTAAGCAGGAGAAAGAAAATGTGGCCATTTTATAAAATACAAGACCGGTAAAAATAACAAATGATAAAAAATAAATAAATCACAAAATACTTCCAAATTAAAAAGTAAATGTTGTTTGTATAATACCAAACCATGCAATTATCAGTTAAATAGTGTACTAACCATGAGTATTCTCCTGTAGCTGTCTCTGTCGATTCCCCACAGCTTGACGTTAGTTTTTGCTCTGACGGTGGCTGCTCTGGGGGTGCCGTAGATTAAAGCCAGCTCACCAAAACTGCCACCCTCTCCAATACTGGTCACCCACTCATTGTTGACGTACACCTATCAAAAAGTCAAGTCAAATATATTTATATAGCGTTTTTCACAATACAGATTGTATCAAAGCTGCTTCACAGTATCAATCAAAACAACTTAACAGTGTTTGTTTATTACTGGAAAAAGACATCCAAGTTTGGTAGAGCTGATCAGTGGTATGATGGGTCATTTAATTTGAATATCCCAAAAACAATAGTACTTATGAATACCTCAGTCATTATCATTCCAAATGTTAAAGAGCCCCTGTTATGCTAATTTAAAGGATCCTAATTGTGTTTTGGAGGTCTCCTACAATAGCACCAAAGGTCAAACACTTTATTTTCTCATAATATACATTGCACATTACCTCATTTCTCAAAGAGTCTGAAAATGGTTTGTTCGAAGATTCAGGCTCGCTAAACCCTCGGAAACAAAACGCCTATTACCGTATCTGAATTTCAGCTCCGGAGGCTTCCTCAGCACTTGTATATACAGTGATACAAACAGTAATGATAGTGTTGGTTTTACCGTATCAATTTGAGCCTGAATCCTGATCCTTTGAAGTGCATGCAAAGTGGATTCACGGCGCAGAAAACGACAACATGAACCAAACTCTTCCAGGCTTCAGCTACAACTACAGATTGATGGCACGTCAAAGGTCAAAGTACTAATTAAATGTTGTTCGCAGGCAGCTAATGAAGATCATAGGCTGGCATTATGCAAATGTGTTACATTGTTACGTAGATTTGTAACAGGAAGTGAGACTGACGACTCATTTCGGCAGGTCAGAATAAAAATCTTCAGAATTTTTCGTTTTAAGCGACAAGAACAAAAATTTGTTGTGAACTTTGATCTTTCAAATTTTGCAGACCTTTTATATTCACAAACAGCTATATTACACACTGCATGAAAGGTAATATTTAAAAAAAAAGCATAATAGGGGCACTTTAATAACCCTATACAAGTCAAAAAACATGTATGTATTATTATATTACATCTTGATTTGACATCAATTTAGAAATGCACTTACATCCATTTCACCTTGATCAATAACATAAAAATTGTCACCCTCATCCCCTGAAATTAGAAACACAATATATTAGTCTAAACATTTTTTCCATTTTTACACAATCAGCTCCTCCTCAAAAGAAGCCTAACCTTGTTGAATGACAGTCTCTCCTGCAATGTAGGTGACTGAGAACATAGCGTCAAATATGTCACTGTGAAGAGTAAAATAAGTTGTTTCCAGTAAATGAAATACTTTCAGTTAAACTGAATAATTCAATCTACTATTCAAAACAAAATTTGTTACCTTCTTTCGTTGTCGTCAAGATGGGCAAAAAGCACATTCTTTTCAATCGCTTTAGCAAGGGCAGCCATAGTTTTGTAGTCTTTAGGAATGACCTGTAAATTAACAGAAAGTTTTCAAAGTAAACAGCAACTGCAGGGAAAGTAGAATTCAGCATGCCAATAATATTATGCGTCGTGATTTTGAAAGAATGACATGTAAACGCAACAAGTTCTGATTAAAATTCAAATTTCTAGGAAAAAGTAAGAGGCTAGTTACCTTTCTGACATAAGAAGCTGCATCTTCCTCAGTGTAGACCTCTGCGCTGATGGCACCGCGGCGCCGTCGGCCCTTAACTACAGGATTCATGGGAGGAGAAACCTCATCTTCTCGGGAGTCTGAGCGAGAGCTCGACTTCTGCTGGTTGCTGATCTGTTTTGCTTCCTCCTGATAGACATAAACTTTGTTTACGGCATTGAAAATCACTTTTCAAGAGTAAAGAACATCTGTAAAGACTCTAAGCCTATGTGGTTTTACTCCAAAGAAAATGACTAACCTTCTCAAGCCTCTCGAAGCACTCTTTGAGGAAAAGCATGGGCCTCTCAGGCCTGACAGTGCACAGCTGCACAATGCATTCCTTCAGCAGCTGCTGGATGTTGTGCTTCTGCACGTAGCGCTCACACTCCCGCAAGCTCCTCTCTTCTTCACTGCTCGTACTGCTGGACGCCATGGTGACCTGCTGACCTGAAACATAAGCAATTCACATCAGCTGATGATACCCAATAAATCTGGAGCAAATCCAAACCTTAGCTAAATGTCATTAGACCAACTAGTTTTATAGTGAAATGTGAAGATCTGATGATAGCTACACCTCTTAAGAGTAGAGTGTAATGCCATGAGTGCAATTCACTAATTTCATTGTGAAGTCCTCATGAACCAGAAGTTCCAAACAACTGTTGTGACAAAACACAAATTGTGACATATAGAGGGCAGGGCTTGATTTTAGCACACCTCCTCACCATCTCGAGCTTGTAGCCGACTGACAGGTGGAGGGAGGTGGTTAAAGGATGTTCTGCCAATGCCGTCAAACTAACGTCATCAGAGAAGGAATGTCATTCCAGGGGGAAGCAAATTTTCAGATTTTGACTAAAGACATGAAGACAAACTATTTTCTCCTGTGCATACCAAATTGTTATGGAAATTCTTAAAATCATGCATCTAATATATTTGTGTGTTCCTGGTATGAGCCGCATCCAGTTGGAAAGCATTCTGGATTCTGGATCTTCTTTAAACACACACATTATGTTTTCATGTTTTATGGTGACTTTCCATAGAGATAATGATTTTTATACTGTACAAACTGTAATTCTATGCCATTACACTAACCCTAAACCTACCCATCACTGAAAACGTTCTGCATTTTTACATTTTCAAAAAACATCACTTATGATTGATAAGCTGTTTTTCTAATGGGGACCAGAAAATGTCCAAGGAGACAAGGATTTCAGATATTGCCATCTTTGTGGGGACATTTTGTCCCCAGAATGTAGGGTTTACCAGGCCACACACATACACACACACACATGCTCTCATTATCAGATCATGTTCATCTCCAACAATCCCGTCAACAGTACAAGTAAATAAATCTGTGAATTCAAATCGCAACCATGTGTTACAATATTCCCACATACGGTAGTTCAACCATTTAACATTTCCAGTCATCTGCCATTATGGGATATGAAAAATAATTTTGAAAAGATTGGAATCACAAAGAGAATTTCCCATCTGATAAAATTCCAACTGAATAAAATACCTTAAACAAATTTAAATTATCAAGATTTTATTCAATTCCATGACTTATCCTAGCCTAACAGTTGACAGTTTAAACCCTTATATTACCAGGTCTTCCTTGACCATGTGACCTCGTGATCATAACTTAATAAAACCAAAAACAAACTACCAGTGCTAATAAATAGACATATGGCTGCAAACCAATAAGCCACTTTCAAAGGAGGTGCTGTCAAAGTGAAACAAGTTAAACGGCTAACATGGCTCACATACTTCGCACATGCTACATATCAAGACTAGAAAATCCAGTTTAAAAAAAATCAGTCAGCAATGTCTCTCAGCTACCATGTAAATTAGCAGAAAGTGTTGCATTTTGGCAGGTATGCTGTGGTCCCTGGTCCCTGTCCGGGCGCCTGAGCTCATAAAATGCGCAGTTCATCCCCACAGGCATTTCACAATATAACGCAATTCGGTCATGTGAACATAACATTATTTTAGCGCAGAAAACACATGCCGATGCAAGTACACCGCATTTAGCCCGTTTAAACGTTAAACAGCGTAAACCTGCAGCTCTGTGTTATCTGTAACCAGTTTTGTCAAGCAGCAAAATACGCCATCTTGCAAGCTACAGATTATCACAACAACGGAAGCCGACAGCATAACAGTAACCTCTCTACGAGCCAGTCGACTCACACATCGATATCAACAAACGTTAAAGCGAAGACCTCTACCTTTAAATATTCATACCTGAGACGCTTCGATGAGTTTGTCGACGTGTTTTACTCCGTTTACACTGGCTTTCCCACAGTCCTTGGATGGATGGATGCCTCACCGGAAAAGGTTATGACCAATCACAAACAACGATTGACGTCAATGCGCCTCGATCTGGGAAGCCGTTACTCCTCACAACCTTAAAGGGCAAGTGCTTGTTTTTGTATTTCGAGGAGATCGAGGTTATCACCCTTATTACATTCTGCTGCACATGATGTGCTACATGCGCTAAGTGTTTAAATGATTTATTTTAAATATTAAATCATTAAATCATATTTTACAGTCATCCGGCAGTGACATTTAAACAAAAAACACTGTGACCCTGTGTGATTTGGATCTGATGACAGCTGAAAAGGTTAAATGGTCTGTGCATAAACCCCTTACCAAGCCTGCGTTGTCCTTATTCAACCAGGGTCATAACCACCACTGACATTGAGGGGGCACTCCCCGCAATATTAGGATTAGGTCGACCGATATGTGCATCTGAATGGTTGACTAATATTATTAGGCCTACATTACTTCCCCCTTAAAATAGGCCTACGTGAATGCATTCTTGACTTCAACTAAACTAATACTTTACTAGCACATTATCACTGGTAATGTGGTCCTTAATCAAAATGTAACATTACATAGCTAAACATTTACATTTATTCATTTACCAGATATTTTTATCCAAAGTGACTTACAAAGGAAAATTATATAAGCAGAACCCAGGACTTCTAGATAATTATCTATTTGGTGAGTATAGTGTAACCATGTAATTTAAAGGGATAGTTTACCCAAAAAATAAAAAATTCTGCAATTATTTACTCACCCTCATAATGACTTTTTGTTTTACGGAAGACAAAAGAAGATATTTTGAAGAGTTTTGGCGACCATTAACTTTTATTGTTTGGAATAAAAATGTATAGGCCTACTTTATGCTCCACAGAAGAAGAAAATACTGAATAAATGATGACACATTTTAATTTTTGAGTGAACTATACATTTAAGTGCAAAACGCATTTTAAAAAGCATTTTTTCACATTAAATTATTATCGTGTATCTATAAAACAAACAAGTGATTTTCCTTTTAGTTAAAGTCAGTATAAAACGAAAATTGTGACCGTCTTTTCTTCCCTGTTGTGCCGTAGGCCTATATCTGACTGAAATGGCTTCTCAAACTAAAAAAATGTGTGGGACTTGATTTTGTCTATCAGGAATTGATTGGTGTCACATTCCAGTGCAATGACGATGAAGAAGATTCAGATAGAAGTGTTTTTAATAACCCAAAATAAACTTAGGAAATTCACAGTGACACGGGTGCACGCACTAACACCATCCCAAGAAGGAACCAAACTGATGAACTTTTAAATACACAGGATAATAATGAACAGAATACAAACAGGTGTGAGAGTTAATGAATGTGTCCATGGTAATAGATTAGTGGCGGGAAACTAGAACAAAGGAAACATGTAACTGAAGAGAAACCAACTAAAAGTCCATGAAAATGAAACTAAAGCTAAACTGAACATAATTGGATTGTTGGATGGTTGTGGTTTGCTATTGTTGTGATGTCATGTAAACAGGTCATCAGAGATGTTGTTGCAAGAGGGAGCGGAAGTTATTTTGATTAAAGATTTCAAGGAAACATGCATTTAAGAAAATTAATAAATCATTTATTATAAACACTGCAATATTCCATAAAAAATATGAGTTGTCTATTTTGAATTCATGGTGACTTTAATGAGGATAAGACTGCACAGGCCAGGTGCCTATATCAGAACATAAAAACACACCCTCTCTTATCTCCTCCCTGCTGCCTCTGCAGCCCTTCCTGCCACTGCTCAATCTCAGTCGTGTCGACTGCCCAGAGTCCACGAACATAGCCTTCCAAAAGCTCTTCAGCTCAAGGATAGAGGACACAACACTATCTAGCAAAAGAGAGGAAAAGATAAAGGCGAGGGCATAGTCAATTTTCCAAAGTCAGGTAGGGTAAGGTTATGTTGTTTGCTGTGCAAATCTGTAATCACTGCTCAGTCATACCAATGTACCATACCTTAACTGCCATTTTTAATGGGAATTGGATGAAGAATGGCTCTTTTCCGGTACTGAACACTGTAACATGTCTGTACAATTAATATAAATCAATTGAAATTGTGTAAATGTTGTGTTTTGGTGATGATTCTTTATCTTGGAAAATGTGAATATAGTAACATCTGAATGAATATGTTGAAAGTGACTAGGCTCACAGAGGAGAAATCATAACATTTTTGAGATTTGGGTGGAGTAATCCAAACAGGCAAAACTCTGCCTACCTTTTTTAGTCACATTCTCATGATTGCATAGGCTACTCCTTCTAACACCTGTGGTGCATTCCAGAGTCCCGTTGTTGAAACATGTCCCTCTATAGCTTTGGATTGGAGCCTCTGTCCTGTCATGCCTGGAACAAAGACCGAACACGTAAGAGCAAACTAGTTTAGCTACATTTTAAATATAAATTACATCCCTTCAGACTCTTAATGTTGCAGCCTGCAGTTCCATTTTCATCCATTAAAATACTCAGAGGAATATCAGTTTGTCTTTGGGAGAAAAGCATGCACTTTTCCATTTGTATGCATCATTTTGCTATGACCTTGCTGTAATATTGTTGCTTTACACGTGGATTTTTGTTTACAAGAAATTCCAAAATATAATTTTTTTCAGGTTTATTTTATGTGTATAAAAAGTCCTAATCACATTGTTTTTATTAGAAATCGCCCTTAGCCCCAACACCAATGATGTGCACATTTACCAAAAGAAAGGAAAGGAATGGATTAAGATTCATGAACTGACAGAGCACAGTGGGCGAATCACAGGTAAGACAAAAGAGAATAGCTGCAACATTAGTCATTAACCTACCGATACTGTGAAACTGACCCATAAAACAAACATTATTACAGCGCTCCAATGAAGGGCATGGCACTAAACCACTGTAAACAGTGCAAGCTATATGTTTGAGTTATGTACTAACTGTATTTTTTAAAGTTGCAATGAAATGGAAGTAGTGACAGATCTTTTCTTCCATATTATATGATACATCCCAGCGAAACAGATTATCGATAAAGAAAAAAAAATAGGATGCAGTTGATTGTACGAAAGGGGCGTGGCTTAAGATCGAGTTATGACATTTTGAATAAAAATCACAAGGACAAGGTCAAAACTAATTTTAAAAAATGAAACATATGCATAATTCACAATAAGATCAATAACATGCATTTAGAAACTAAATGAATTGATACTATTTCAGTTTTCCAGTGTCCTAAAACTGCACAATAAAATATGTTGCACTGAAATCTTTTAATATATAGATTTTAATAATAAATGAACATAACTAACAATTGATTTCACTTTTAGGGGTTGATTGGGCCCCAGAGTCCAACCGTATAGTGACATGTGCCTCCGATAGGAATGCCTATGTGTGGACACTTAAGGATGGGGTTTGGAAGCCAACACTGGTGCTGGTTCGCATCAATCGAGCTGCCACATGTGTCAAGTGGTCACCTCTTGAGAACAAGTTTGCTCTTGGAAGTGGAGCCAAACTTATTTCAGTGTGCTACTTTGAAAAAGAAAATGACTGGTGAGACTTGATTGTATAATATCTTTTGTTGCTTATAATATATTATGCATTATCTCTCGTGTAGCTTTACTAAGCTCTCTTGTTCATGATTGCCTCTATAGGTGGCTGAGTAAGCATATCAAGAAACCCATTAACTCCACCGTTCTGAGTCTAGACTGGCATCCCAACAACATGCTGCTGGCAGCTGGCTCTGCTGATCTCAACTGCAGGTTTGATTATTGCGATGATATTATATTCAGACTGCACAATGTTTTTTTGTAACATAAGTCTTTTTTGTCGTCATAGAATTTTTTCTGCATATATCAAAGACATTGAGGACAGGCCTGGACCAACACCATGGGGATCCAAAATGCCCTTTGGGGAGGTGCTTCTGGAGTATAAGGAGTGCGGAGGCTGGGTGCACAGTGTCTGTTTCTCTCCATCTGGTGATGCTCTTGCCTGGGTTAGCCACAACAGCGCCATCAGTGTGGCAGACGCCTCACAGGGAAAACAGTAATACCAAGATTTACGTATAACAATTAGCTTAGTAAAACTCCATTTTCATATATACACAGAAAAGCAAACTAAAATAATTTGATACTCAATATCCTTGAATTCTATGAATCTATTAAAAACACTGCCTGAAAATAATAATATATATGCACAGCATGATCTTTAGCATTCACTTTTAGATTGCCCGCAAATGAAATTTTGTGCATTGCAGGGTTACTCAGCTGACAACAAGACATCTTCCATTGCTGAGCTTGCTGTATGTCAGTGAGACTCAGATTGTAGCTGCGGTAAGACATTGACGATGATAATAAGAAATGTTTCTTGAGCATCAAAGCAGCATATTAGAATGATTTCTGAAGGATCATGTGACACTGAAGCTGAAAATTCAGCTTTGCATTCAAAGGAATAAAATACATTTTAAAACAGATTTAAATATAGGCTACATCAGTTATTTTAAATTGTAAATAAATCACAATATTGCTGTTTTTACAGTTTTTTTTTTTTATCAAATAACATTTGTGTATATGTGTGTGGTTGATCTTAGGGCCACGACTGTTGCCCTTATCAGTTCTCATACAAGGGTCCTGGATGCTTAGAGTTTGTGAAGAAAGTGGACATTCCCAAGCAGAGCTCCAAGGGCAACATGTCTGCCATGCAGCATTTCCGTAATCTGGACAAAAGAGCGACTGATGAGGAAGACACTGAGTTGGGCAGTCTGCATCAGAACAGCATCACGTAATAGAAGGCTTGACGTCTGCAAGCACAAGATTTTGGTCTAATTTCAACATCTATTGCATTATGCTAACATTTTAGAGAAATGTAATTGCAGTTTGCTAAGACTTTGTTTCTACTGTAGCCAACTATGTATTCTGGAAGGGCTGAAGGCCAAGGTGGAGAAATTCAGCAGTGTGTCTTTAGATGGTGCCATGGTTGTCTGGGATTTCAAGGTATTGTATTGTCACGAAACAACTTGTGAGCCATTTTAATATTACTGTTTAAATCTAGATTGTCTAAGCATTGTCTGTACTTATATTAATAATGACTTTTCCTCTTTAATGTTATTTTTAGCACTGAAACACCATGGGATCTGGAGAGAGCAGAAAACAATAACTTTGTACCATCTTTTTTTATTTGTTTGTTTTCTCAGACACTTTTTTTGCATTAACTACAATACTTACACTTTAAAGTAATTATAGCCTATTGATATAATGATGTACTGTGGTGTGATGGCTGATCCCAAACTTCTTGTTGTTCAATAGCTTTTGTGCAGTATTAATTAATCTAAACAGTGCAAAAATAAATGACCATTTAGCACCAAAAAGAGAATTAACTTTGTATGAAATGACGATCATAAATGCACATTTCATTTTCTATTCCAAATGTGCTGCTAAAGAAAGAACACAGATTCTGCATTTTATGTTTTGTTTTTTAATGTTTTGTAAAAATACAAAAAATACTATTAAAAACGTTGGGTGATTTTGTCTTTTTTTTTTTTTTTTTTTCTGTGTTGGAACTCTTGCTACAGCACCTCAAAAACTGCTAAAGTTTGTTGGATGCAAATTATTATATGCAAATGACTGATAAACTGATGAGTGGGCTAGTAAGAGTACTGGACGAAGGATTTGACTGATGGAGTGAAAAGTAAGTTTAATAGCAGAAAATTAATCGATTGTATCAACACTTTTTATTTTAAATAAATAGCATTTTAATAAAACATGAAAAAAAACTTTTTAACCGAGAGATATAATACACTTTGTATAGGCTAATGTTTATGTATACGTTTTCATGCATTTTATTTACTGAATAACGACTGCAACAAACTGGATGACATTACATTTCAATAAACCATTTTTGTTCAAACTTAATCGAAAATATGCCAGGCCAAGCTGTGAATGATCACGTGATGACGTTTAAGAATAACCGAATCGGTTTAAAATCAGTCAATAAACTGTTCGAAAGAAGCGATTCGCAGAAATGAGTCGGGCTTCCTCCTATGACTAATAAATATTGCGCGGCAGGGCAGGAATAAAAGGCTGTGAGTGACTCTTTCATGGATGTATTATTCGTGAAAATTAAATTGGATATGTTTAGAGTAGACAAATGTAATACTGCAAAGCCAAACCACTCCCCCTTTGTATTAATTCCGCACTTACCGCCAATCAGCGTCTATCTTAGTTCACTCGACCAATCAGTGCTCAGCCGGACGACAACACAGCGCATTTTCCTTCAACCACTAGTATGTGATGTTGATGTGACGCAACAACTATCAGCTGGTTTTGTTTTGCTTCATTCCCTATGCTCCGCTAGAAGTCGTAAATGTACAAAAACTTGCGTTTTAATTAATTAATGTGAGGCAGAATAATAGCTGAAGCGTTGGAGTATATTTGTCTTCCACTTTATTCGGACCTTACAGTTTTTCTTCAGTAGGTCTCCGCTTTGCCACTATCTTTCCAAGAGGTCCAACCGATCCCAGGCCTCCGATCCAGGGCGGAGGGAGGGAAGGAGGTCGTTGGGAATCGGGATCGGGATGGAGACCGAGGAGGGAGCCGACGGTCCTGGCGGGCCGGGGCCGGGGCCGGGGCCGGGGCCGGGCCCGGGCCCGTGCTGCGTCTCCTTCAACCAGGACTCCACGTAAGCATCATCTGCCGAATCGGATATTTCTATGATGCTATTAACAGCGGTTTACCTTACAAGAGGGAATGTCACCTCTGCTTAAAGGATTGTCCGCTATTTATTGTCTGTTTTTGATTATTACACATCCATAAAAAGCCAGTCACTATGTTATAACGGTGTTTTGCATGCATAATATGATAGATGAGCTTAGTGTTGTTTCTCAGGACTGTTTTTCAATGGTTGTACAATGTTTTTTGAGCAGAAGTGCTTTAAATGGGATTGAACTAACAATAAAACACAACAAAACCCCACTAATATTACTTATAGATTAGATATGATTATGAATCTTGTAGCCTACATGGTTTTATAGAGAGGAGAAACTGAATGTTGCTCCCTTTTTCACGTTTTCTCAAAGCAGAATTTGCAGTATTGTGAGATTGTATTGATCAGTCCACAGTCTCCTGACAAGATGACCCGCTCTTGTCCTCTTTTCTAGTGGTTGATCACACTGGTTTCTTGTCTGAAAAGTCAAGCACAGCAAATCAAACACAAAACATGATACAGAGAGACTAGTCAGGTGATCTGATATATCGTCCCTTTGAGATTATAGTCAACTATCTCTTATGGGGCAAAATACATTTGTATTAGAAAAATCAGAATTTAGTTATTTTGTATATAAGGTATACCAGTCACAGTGGTAATTATTACCAACACATGTCAGATGCAGTCCTGCTGTAAACACAAGGTTTTGTTTTGGGTTTCAGCAGCACCTATGTTTTCCAATAAAAGTAGAAAAGGACATGCTAAGCACAGGATCTGACGTGAACAACTTTTTCTAGAGGAATGAAAGGCCTGCAAAACAGATGTGCCCCCCTCCCCCTTAAAAATAGATCCCAGTAAATGTAACAGACATCAACTCTTCTGTTTATATGTAAGCCAAATGATTACAATTCACACAAATGTTTCTATCTTGAGTCAGGACCTGTGTTGTATTAGGATTTTAAAATGACTTAGCTTGCCACTTAAAAATTAAGTGGTAGTTTCTGTGTTGGCCTTTGCATCTGTTTTCCTTCATTATAATTAAAAAAATCTAATTATATTGTATATTATATTTTACTGTATTATGCTGTTTATACATAATAAATTGCATGTACACAGTGTAATTAGTAAGTGAAAATAACTTCCAAATAATGGATGTATTCAGTTAACAGATTTGATACAGCATCATATCTTGTTGTTTTTCCAGGTCTTTGGCTGTGGGCACCAAAACTGGATACAAACTATTCTCTGTGACCTCTGTGGACAAACTGGACTGCATTCATGAGAGTAGTGAGATATTTTCCCATTCTATTTTGTATAAACTTGATATAAATGGCAAGTATGGCTGTCTGCAAAAACTACAGGGCAATAGGAGGGACCGTCAAGTGCAATATAATAAAGTTATCATAGGGTGTAGTCAATTTCTAACGAATCACTTAACAAATAAATTGAAAATGCCATCTCATTTCCTTGGTATTTTGTTGAGAAAGATAAGAGAAGATATTTTACTTTCAAAAATATTTTGGAGAATGTTTGTCTCTGTATGCTCGATGTTGTGATAAACTCACCCTACAGGGCGTAAAGTTGTCCTTGTCTGTTTTGATTTATGTTACATGGTGGCAATGCCTTATGTGTTTGAGATTGTATCTGCAGCCCACAACAAAGATGGCAGGTAAAAAGCTAAAGACAGAGAAACAGCCTGTTTTGCTGATGTGTGTAAAATAAAAGGTAAACTTGGAAAATCATATAGTACTTATTTACAATAATGTAATGGTAAAAAAAAGAAATGAAAATAATTACTTTAGCCTCATATCACTGACAACCTGTATATTTTTGTATTTCTTTGGAACAAAATAAAGTGGGTTAAGCTGCAAAAAACACACACACATTTACACTGATTATTAAGTGTACACAGTGACTGTGTTTCAATTTTATATTTAAACTGATTTAATGAGAAGCATTTTCATTTTGGATGTTATTTCCCCTTTAAATGTAGCTCATCCTTAAAAAGATGTACCTCGACTACATGTGTCTACATGTGGCTTTTTATATTTATGTTGCTGCTAATGCGTCCTTTTCTCTTCTCCCCTTCAGCAGAAACTCCAGACGTGTATATCGTGGAAAGGCTTTTCTCCAGCAGCCTGGTTGTGGTGGTGAGTCAGTCCATGCCACGTCGCATGAATGTCTACCACTTCAAAAAGGGCACAGAGATTTGCAACTACAGTTACTCGAACAACATTCTTGCAGTGCGTCTCAACAGACAGGTAAATACAACACAGCTGTGCTGGAGCGAGGCACCTGCCACTTATCAATTATAAAGCTTCTGGACAAGATGATCGCTTTTCTGTGCTCTTTCGTCGTTAAACTTGAAAATGTGGTTTGGTTTGTTAGTAAATATGTAATTTGTGTGTGTGTGTGTGTGTGTTTTTCGTGGCAGAGACTGGTTGTCTGTCTGGAGGAATCCATTTATATCCACAATATAAAAGACATGAAACTCCTGAAAACCCTTCTCAACACACCATCCAACCCATCAGGTAAGGGAATTGAAAAACAAATCAAACAAAAACAGTTAATATAGAATAATAATTTTGAACTGTCTGTGTAAATCTGTATAAATATTAAAATATTAACCCACTCATGTGTTTCTGTAGGTCTCTGCGCTCTCTCCATCAACCATTCCAACTCTTTCCTGGCATATCCAGGCAGTGACACCATCGGAGAAATTATTGTCTATGATGCCAACAATCTGGTAAAAATGCAGGCCAAAAAATTGTTTAGCTGCTCATTTAGCCAGTTCCTTTGGTTGAGTTAATTGCTGTACATGAGACAAATCCCTGCTCTTCAGTCCTGATTCACTATATAAATCTTTGTCTTTGTTGTGTGTTTGTGTGTCTTTGTCTGCTCAGAGTACTGTGACCATGATTCCAGCTCATGACAGTCCACTGGCCGCCATCACCTTCAGTGCCTCAGGCACCAAACTGGCCAGTGCTTCTGAAAGGGTAAAGCTCCACTGTTTATATAGAAACACAGCCGGGTGAACCTCACGAAACCGTTTAAGAACACGTCTGGGTCAAAAAAAACTTTACAATAAGGTTCTATTAGTTAACATTAGTTTATGGACTAACAATGAGCAATACATTTGTTACAGTATTTATTATTCTTTGTTGATGTTAGTTAATACAGACAACTGTTCATTGTTAGTTTATGTTAGCTCAGGGCCATTAAATAATCTTAACATACAACTTTTGATTTTAATAATGTATCAATAAATGTTGAAATCAATATTAACTAAGATGAATAAATGCTGTAGAAGTATTTTTCACTGTTAGTTCATGTTAACTAATGTAGTTAAATAATGTTAATAAACTTATTTATTGTAAAACTTATTGTAACTTAAACTTATTGTAAAGTGATGCCGAAATTATATTTTGCCTGTTTTTGGTAGCATTAAGATTTTTTGCATTGTGATTATTTTCATGTCAGTTTAGCACACCCCACATTTGCATTCACTCACAAAAGTTTCTCGGGGGAACGCAAAAATATGCGAGCGAACGCAAAGGCATTGGCATAATATTTCCATCCACGTCATATTTTTTTTTCTCCACCATGTCCCTTTAGGGGCTCCATAGAAATAAAATGTCACAATGAAAAACAATTCTAATTGTCCTAAAATATGTTTTGTATTCTTTAGGCAAAATATGATGTCTGGTTTTTTGGTGTTATTTTTTTTTTTCTATTTACGGGGTGAAATGCAACCCAGACGTGTTTATGAGAGATTCACATAGTCATACCTTATAACGTAGACACACACAGCTCCGAGCATCTGTCCACTTCTTTTCTCCCGTCCCAGGGTACAGTGATTCGAGTCTTCTCCATTCCAGAGGGACTGCGCTTGTTTGAGTTCAGGCGGGGGATGAAAAGGTACAATGATGATGATGATGATTCAAAGCTCACAGTGAACACTGAAGATACTTTAATCATACAGAAAGAGAGTTGACTGTGTTTGTGTAAACTGTGGTATGTGTGAGTCTGTTTTGTGTATGCTTTTGACCTTTGTGTGTTTGTGTCACCAAAGGTATGTCAACATCAGCTCCCTTTCCTTCAGCCCGGATGCTCAGTTCCTCTGTGCCTCAAGCAATACAGAGACGGTGCACATTTTCAAGCTTGAACAGCACAGCCCAAGGTACTGAAAATGCTCCTTGCTACCAGTGTAATTGAGTCAGGATCTCTTTTCTTTTTTTACTGACAAATCTAAACTTTGTCAGTGTTTGTGTTTCTCCATGTTTTTGTGTTTTACTTGCAGTGGGGAGGAGGAAGCTCCCTCTTGGTCAACATATGTAGGTAAGATGTTCACAGCAGCCAGTAGCTACCTCCCAGCACAGGTGTCAGGCATGATGAGTCAAGACCGAGCCTTCGCAACCGTCCGTCTCCAGATGGGCGGTCAGAAGAATGTCTGTGCCCTGGCAATGTGAGTCCTGCAGTCATTACACAGCAATCTAGAACGAGTAACAGTATTTACTGAGGAAAAAACTCATTCAAGAGTTTCACTTGACCAATCAGAATCCAGAAACTTCCACGTTTGCTTGTGGCCTCCTCTGATGGGCAGCTATTCATCTATAACATTGACCCTCAAGATGGGGGTGAGTGCACTCTGGTGCAGAAGCACAGGTGAGTTTTCACTCTTTTTTTAAACAAATTAATTATAATGATAAGCTGTGTGGTGGTATGTTATTAAATATAGGACATTAAAAAAAAAGATTTGTTTTATACTTTCATGCTGGATTCCATTCTAAGTGCTCAGGCAACTGGACGAGCTCAAAAGGCTTCAAGCTTTTAAATCTGTTCACTTAAAATGGTTAAAGGAATAGTTTTAAAAATGAACATACTATCATCAATTACTCAACCTCAAGTAGTTTTAAACCTGTATGAATTTCTTTATTCTACTGAACACAAAAAAGATATTTTGAAGAATGTCGGTAACAAAACAGTTGATGGACACCATTGACTTCCATAGTAGGAAAAAAAATACTATGGAAGTCAATGGGGTACATCAACTGTCTGGTTACTGACATTTCTTCAAAATATCTTCTTTTGTGTTCAGCAGAAGAAAGAAATTCATACAGGTTTGAAACTACTTGAGGGTGAGTAAATGATGACAGAATTTAAATTTTTATGTGAACTATTCCTTTAAGATTGGTTGACTAATTAGTTCAATTTCTTTTTCTGGATTTTACATCATCATGCCAGTGGATGACGAGAAGCAACAAGTAGTGTCTTTTTGTGCATTATGAGCTTGTCATTGAGTCTGACTCAAGTGATTCATTGAAAAGCACAAACAAAACAAGTCTTATTAAAATTTGCTTGCCTACAATTCTACTGAGATTCTACAGAAAGAGTGTTTATTAAGATGCATTAGTGTTTTCCCCCCAAAAAACGACTAGTTTTGTTACAGTTAGCTAAAACTACAACTAAAATGACTAAAAATCATTTTAGGTCAATTGAAATAAAGCTGAAATAAAATAAAAAATTTAGTTAAAACTTAAACTTATAAAACCTAAAATGAACCATGGAAACTAACTGATGTTGAAAATAGTATTAGAATTACTAAAACTAAATCTTAAATAAAAATAATTAAAGCCCAATTTAAATATTTTAAAAAAACTAAAAATGACAGCACATAACAACATTACTAAAACTTAAACTAAAATGAAAATGCAAACTGAAAATATATAAATTTCATATAGTAAAATAATATATCCATCCATCCATCCATCTTCTTCCGCTTATCCGGGGCCGGGTCGCGGGGGCAGCAGTCTAAGTAGAGATGCCCAGACTTCCCTCTCCCTAGACACTTCCTCCAGCTCTTCCGGGGGGACACCGAGGCGTTCCCAGGCCAGCCGGGAGACATAGTCCCTCCAGCGTGTCCTAGGTCTTCCCCTGGGTCTCCTCCCAGTGGGACGTGCCCGGAACACCTCCCCGGGAAGGCGTCCAGGAGGCATCTGGAACAGATGTCCGAGCCACCTCAGCTGACCCCTCTCGATGTGGAGGAGCGGCGGCTCTACACTGAGCTCCTCCCGAGTGACCGAGCTCCTCCCCCTATCTCTAAGGGATCGCCCAGCCACCCTGCGGAGAAAGCTCATTTCGCCCGCCTGTATCCGGGATCTTGTCCTTTCGGTCATGACCCAAAGCTCATGACCATAGGTGAGAGTTAATACGTAGATTGACCGGTAAATTGAGAGCTTCGCCTTGTGGCTCAGCTCCTCCTTCACCACGACAGACCGGTCAGCGACCGCATTACTGCAAAAGCTGCACCGATCCGTCTGTCAATCTCCCGTTCCATCCTTCCCTCACTCGTGAACAAAACCCCAAGATACTTAAACTCCTCCACTTGAGGCAGGAACTCTCCACCAACCTGAAGTGGGCAAGCCACCCTTTTCCGACTGAGGATTTGGAGGTGCTGATTCTCATCCCAGCCGCTTTACACTCGGCTGCAAACCGTCCCAGTGCATGCTGAAGGTCCTGGTCTGAAGGGGCCAACACAACAACATCATCCGCAAAGAGCAGAGATGAAATCGTGTGGTCCCCAAACCTGGCACCCTCCGCCCCCTGGCTGCGCCTAGAAATTCTGTCCAAAAAATTATGAACAGAACCGGCGACAAAGGGCAGCCCTGCCGGAGTCCAACATGCACCGGGAAGAAGTCTGACTTACTGCCGGCAATGCGAACCAAGCTCCTGCTTCGGTCATACAGGGACCGGACAGCCCTTAGCAAAGGACATGTGGATTGGTTGGGCCAACTCCCATGAACCCTCCAGCACCCTGTAGAGGGTATGGAGCTGGTCCAGTGTTCCACGGCCTGGACGAAAACCGCACTGTTCCACTATTGGGCATATTCTCCTCTCCAGTATCCTGGCATAGACTTTCCCAGGGAGGCTGAGAAGTGTGATCCCCCTGTAGTAAGAACACACCCTCCGATCCCTTCTTAAAAAGAGGGACCACCACCCCGGTCTGCCATCCCAGAGGCACTGTCCCCGACCGCCACGCGATACCACATAAAATTATATAAAATAGTTAAAAATAAGCTATAGTAAATCTTATATGGTGCATAAAATAACACTGTAAATGAAAAAATAAATAAAAATAAATTCTCCCTCCAGTCAAATGTGGGGCATAATTAATCAAGATATAAAAAACATTAAAAAAAAAAGGTCTAAATTAATGATTAGTATCTTAGTTAGTTTTAAATGTGCGTGGTAAGCGGTAAGTTTTACACATTCATAATTCTTCCACCCCTTTTCTTTTATTGCTTTGAATGACTCACATGCCGACATGCACACTCTCGTTCAGTCACTGACTCAGCGAATCCTCGTGCATGAATGAGGTGACCCAATTCATTCAATCCATTTACGAACAAGAGGCCTTGATGTGGTAGTTAGCAACTTACATATTTTTTAAAGCACAGCAGTTTCAAAATTCATGTTTGAGCGAGGTATGACTGTGTGCAATTTATATCGTAGAACAAAGCATGAAAGTCTCTTTATAAGCGCAGACCTTATTTTTACTGATGTCGCCTTTAACCCCCAGGTTGTTTGGATCGGATAAGGAGTGGGAGGAGACAGAGAAATCTGAACTCACAGAGCCACCGCAAGCATGCCAGTCATATGCTGCCACCGTGGCCATCCCCACCTCTGGACCCGTTACAGCCACTCTCACAGGTAGCACAACACCCTTAAACACACACATTCATTTACATTTGAACTCATTTTCATGATCAGCCAACTGTGTTCTTCTCAGGGTACTCCGAGGATGGGGGAGCTAAGAAGGGCGAGGTGATTCCCGAGCATGAGTTCGCAGCAGGACCCGTGTGCCTGGACGACGAAACAGAATTTCCTCCCGTGAGCATTCGCTAACCTCTCCAAGTCAAAGCGCCGGTGTTGCATTCCAGTGTATGGGGTTGTCTTGTCCCTCTGTCCACAAGCATTCAAACTAAGTGTGATTTATTATCTTTAACCAAACCAACACCAGCCTCTTCAGGTCTGATGAGGACCAAATGTTGCAGTTTAGTCACATCAGAAGCTGAATATGTTGTTTCTTACACAACATAAATGACAAATATCACTCCAGACATTATTTCTTTGAAAAATGAAATAATTTAGTATATATTTCAGTGGTATTACTCTGTATTTAGACTGAAGTAATGCTACATTAATGTAAGTATTTAGCCTAAGTTCAGGGTGAATACAGGCAAAGTGGGACACTTAAAGGTACACTATGTAACTTTTACATGCATTTTGCAGAAGAACATTGTTTTGGTTGTGCTTCAGCACTGCGTGACACTGCGGATGAATATGGTTATCCTACTGATCATAAAAAATTCACTACTTGGCTTAAGAGATATAATATACAGTTTGGATAGAAAGGATGTTAGAGAGCTACATATGCCAATCTATCTGTTCAATAAAATACCTTACCTGTTGAGTAATAAAAACAGCATCTCTATGTTGCTTTTACAACATTTCAAATCCCTCAGTTCTCACCATCTCTGAAAAGTCAAGCCAATATTGATTCTTGTTTCATTACGAGCTCTATCAGGTTCTCTTTTTGCCTGCAGACTCTCCTCTATTTTTTGGGTTTTAAAAAACGGGTGATTCTCCGGTGAGATTTAGCTCCATCTCAACTTTTCTCACTCGTTGTGACAGCTAACCTATAGCACTCGCACACCATACACGCGTCAAAGGAGCTGAAGGAACTTTCCTCTATTTACGGATATGACGAGACAGGCACGGACGAGTGACATATCAATTTACCCGGCGGTCTAGAATATAAACACTTATAATACGCTTACCATAGAGAATCAGGGTAAGACAAGAACATGTTTTGGAAGAAGGATTAATGATGTATTGACATGTATTGGACAAAAACAAAAGTTACATAGTGTACCTTTAAGCATAATCACTATTACTAAAAAATTAGCATTTAGTTCATATAAATAGTATGTAATGAAATACCAAATGTTAAGGGTCAGTACGATTTTTTTTATTTCTTAAAGAAATTAATACTTTAATTCAGCAAGGATGCATTAAATTAATTAAAAGTGACAGTAAATACATTTATAATGTTATAAACGATTGTTATTTTAAATAAATGCTGTCTATTAACTCTATTTATCAAAATATGTGACATTGAAAACTAGTAAGGAGTAATGATGTTGAAAATTCAGCGTTGTCATCACAGGAATAAATTACATTTTAAAATATATTAAAATAAAAAAAAGTTATTTTAAATTGTAATAATATTTCACAATAGTACTGTTTTACTGTACTTTTGATAAAATAAATACAGCATTGGTGAGCATTTAAAAAAGCATTTAAAAAAAACTTACCAGCTCCAAACTTTTGAACGGTGGTGTATACCGTATGTAACAAATCTAATCATAATTTAAAAACAAAGGCAGTGACAAATCATCCAAATGTGTTTCACTTTATATGTATTCATCTTAGATGTTGAAAAACATTTTCTGACACTAAACCAGCTGTTGCTGTTTTATGGTGTTTCCGATCTTATATACATGGACGTGAGCAGAAGTGTTAGTTGACTGATTCGTTTGTTTGTGCACAGACAGGACCAAGATATGAATGCATTGAATCCACCCAAGTTATTTGTTTTGATGCAATAAATGCTGGGTGGATTCCTCGCCATTGCTTCATTAGATAACTATGTAACTATGAGAACTCTTTTTCTATTTCAGTCTAAATTTCATGATGATCATAAACACATGTTTGTCTATGCACACACACACACACAACATACAGGAGTATAAACATTCTACACTTTTTATTCTGAACAAATCTCAATGGATTAATTGGATTTTAACGAAGATATTTTATGATGCGAACAATCTCAAGATCAAGTGGAGATATTAATAATGCTTTACATTGATGCAGTGCTCACTTAACTCCACATGGTGGAGCACTTATTGTTGTCCAACAGGCCTTGTTACTGCTAACACTTCATGTCTTGTTTTGATGGATCATAAACTATAGTCTTTCAGATAGTTTAATAATATTGGTTTAAATGGAGGAGCTCAGGACTCTGATGTCAGAAGGATTTGATCATTTATAAGATATCAATTTGCTATTGCTTTAATATACCTTCCGAGTGTCATTGTGACTAACTGATATGGGTCAATGTTCTCAGCTAGCTCCTGTTGAGATCTGTATCTGTCTATAACACACCCATGGCTGAGGGAACAATAAAGCTGTGTTCTGGTTTCCGGTAGATAAATTGGTGCCGTGACGGATCTGGGCGAGGCAAGGGGAGACGACCGTGAGAGGGTAGAGAACAGGTGGAGGCCACAACTGTCAATGGAGGATCCTCCGTGCATGAGCAAGGACAAACAATGATAATAATGATAAAAAACAACAAACTAACTTCAGGGTGCTAAATTATTAACGGAACGGTTGAAATGCTAATATCTTAAATTGAGTTGATCAGGGATTTGGGTCGTTGTCACTCAATCCCCTGAAGGGTGTGTTATAAATGAGGTGCATGACTGAAATATAACCACATATTGTTCTAGTTATGTAACACATTGTATTAATTCAGTCGTAATACTGTAGCATTTTATTCTTTTAATTTATAACACCATCATATTGAATCATAAGAGAAGAGGAATTACTTTTTTTATATATATGTGTTTTGCTGTATTGATACTTAATATGTTTACATGTTACCATCCTGAATACTAATACAGCGGGATGTTTTGTATGTATGTGCCTATAATTTTACTTGTAAAAGTGCAAAGTATTTTGCTGGATCGCTCAAGACCAAAAGACAAAAAAAGATATGAATATGTAGGAAATATATTAGGAATGAAATTATGCAAAGCACCTCTTGTCTCCTGTGGTCTTTTCTTGATCAAATTATTTGTTACAAAGGAAGTGAATAGATACTACCATTCAAAAGATTTTTTTTAAATAAATTGTAACTTTTTTTGCAGCAAGGATGTATTCAATTGATTAAAATTAACATTTGTAATATTCCACAAAAAAAAAAATTAAGCAGCACAACTGGTTTCAACATTGATACGAGCAGCAAATCATCATTAAAATTATTTCTGAAGGATCATGTGACACTGAAGACTGGAGTAATGATGCTGAAAATTCAGCTTTGACATCACAGGAATAAAGTACATTATAAAATATATTCAAATAGTTCATTTAAATTGCAGTATTATTTCACAATATTAGTTTTACTGCATTTTAGATCAAATAAATGCAGCCCTGAAGAGCAAAAGAGACTTCTTTCACAAACTTTATGTTTTTATAATTATATCTTACTGACCTGACTTGACATGACTTTAAACAGCTTGTTTGTGCCATTTTTCTGAGTTATCACCAGTCAACCTGATACAAATCTAATGATATTGGAGACAGACTGAGGACATCATGAACATTTCTGACTAACATCATAGATTTTATAAGTATTTGTGCCATATAGGTCACATTAGATTGTCTTTGTCTATCTAACAGTTGATTTTAAAGATGAATTGTAAAAAAAAGTTTGAATAGAAATACATTTTACAAATTGCTCAAGAGGCTTTTGTCTTTACAATCTAAATTTGATATGGCCCACAGAGATCTTGAGATCCTTCATACCAATATGAAGTGTGAGTTTGCCATGTCTTTGTTTTACAGTGTAAACAAAGCATTTCATAGTCGATAACACTACAAAATGATATAGGATATAAGTTTGTACAAATATGAGATCATTAGGGCTAGAATAATCCCTTGGTTATACCGTTGTATATTTCAGCAAGAGTTTAAGAAAGAGATAGAAAACCTTAGAAATGATCATCCTTTCGAGTGAACTGGAGCACTTCGGTAGAGTGAGAAATCAGCTGCACTTCACTGATCAATATTTGTTTTGAAAGGCAAAAGAACATGTTGAGCTTTGGGCACAATCCCGTCAAAATAACTCCCACAGTGCTGTGTTCAACTTCTGAGGTCATTTCCAGTTTAAAGGAAGTGTTATGTTATGCCTATTATTCTCTGCACTTGCTTGCAAAAGGATATTAATGGGATACTAATAATAGTTTATAGGTTGGTTATGTAATTCTATGTGTCCTGGAAGTTAGGCCCAACATAATTGATGCACAGAGCTCAAATACAGGGCATGGCATTGAGACAGGACTGGTGTTGTGACAACAGAGTCTCGATGCAGCAGATGAGGTTAAAGGTCAGAGTGAACAACAGAGCTGATAAGTGTAATAAAGAAAGTGCTTTCACGACCTCCTCATGCCAGAGAAGGATAAACAGATGGAAAAGAACTGTTTCAACATGACATGTAGATAGATTTTTGTAAATGTATTTTGTACAGTCTGAAATGATACATGATCTCCATGTGCGCAGCTGAGCAGGGTAACACTTGACAATAAGGTCCCATAGTTAACATAGGTTAATGCATTAGCATTAACTAACAATGAGCTATTCAGATTGTATTACATACATTACAGTATTTATTAATGTTAGTTTTAGCATTTTTAATTCATGTTAGAATTTCACTAATATGACAAGGTGCTTTGAATATCTGGAACCTTTTGATGCCTCCAAAAAGATAAAAATTCAGATTCTCAGAATGGTATTGATGATAAACTCTTAAAGTATTTACCGCAAGCAATTTTGCATTTAAAAGACGTCTAATAGCCGTCAAAACGCTAAAACAGGGCAAAATTTGGGCTGTAAGTGAAAGTTTAATAGATGTCTAAACCATAGCCCAGACTAGTAATCAATTAGATAACAAAGAAATGAAATGAGTAAAGAAATGAAATCAAACACCTTGTAATCACTGTTTACTTTGCTTACGTGATGGAATATCATACATCTCACAAGTTATTTTGGCAAAAAAGACATGTAACCAAATTCAAGGTTATTTTGGCTTGAAGTATGTTATAGCAGGAAAATTTGAATTTAAAAAAATGGGCCTGATGTGTGTGATACATGAGCTGTCCAGGGTACTGAACATTATTGCGTCTTCTGCTTCGATGCAGGGTTTGGCAGACACACACATACCTGATATCTCCTTTAAGTTACCAAAATGATAATTGTAACACATAAACAGCAACTTTTAATTTTTTTCACAAGGGCACTTTAAGTAATTATCGTTACTCATTATCGACGAATATTTAGATGTGCTTTAACTCAGTGCTCTACTTTCACCCTTACATTGTAGTAAAGCTAAAATGATGGTCAGCTATTCATTGTGAGGACAGAGCGTTGCTCAGTAATCTTGTTTGTTAGGGTCTGACGGTACACAGTGTATAATTTAACTAGACATTGTAAGTCAGCATGTAATGATCATATGAACTCTTGTTATGGTTAAATCTACTGTGTAACAACATCTTATGATGTTAATTATTACTAAGGCTTCTGTGAAAAACAATCTCACATTGATAAAATAAAAAAGAAATACAAACAAAATAATAGTAAATTAGAAAAACACGATATAAAGTTATCCTTTTGTCTTCGATAAGTGATGGATTCCTATATTCCTCACCATATCAGCTGCAGTTAAGAAATCAGATTCACATGCCTCTGTTTTGTGTGCTGAACACAACACAAGCTTTCAACACCTATGATTACTAAAGGGAATGACGCAAGCCATTCTTAGGTAACAAAGTCAGTTGGTTACTTATTATCTCTCCCCATAAATGGCAGGCCTCTGTAAGGCCGTCTGTAAAGATAAATGCACAATATAGCCTACTGATAAATGCATGGAGAAATTATTTAGATTTAGATCTAATTAGACTTTTTAGAAATGTAATTGGAAATAAGATAGAAATGTAACGATTAAAAAAGAAAAGAAAAAATATTTCAGATTATGCACTGTTTTTAGGTCTAGTCAAATATGCCAAAATGCCGTAACGACCATGTGAGATCTGTCAGATGTTTCTTTTATTGAAGCTCAAGATGCTTTTTGGGTGATCTCAAATCATGCTGGAGACCTCATGATCGTCAGGTTTTAGACACATTGTTGAGTTGAAGCAAAAAAGGGGACATAAAAATAATTTTTTAATCATCTTTTTGCTAAACTGTTGTGCTTATATATCGCAATAGCAAAGCCTGTTTTAAATGTGACGACGGCTTTGTGTTTGTGTATTCATGTGTTTTCATCATAGACTGTAAAAAATCCATGCATTCATCAAGGTTTGCATTATTACCGCTAAACGTTTCACCCGGCCGCGTGTCTGTGAAAAGAGGGAGGATGCACATGTGACGTCACAGCCGGCAATGTAAAAAATAACCAAAATGTCGGAGTTTTAAGGAATCTACTTGAAAAGTGTTTAACAAATGTTGAAATTTCTGTCCGTATTTACATGGTGCCATTAAAACGCACGCTGATAATGTAATCTTAATGACGAGTAAGCTCATACTGGAGACAGAACTGGAATAAACCTGTTTTAGCCGGCCGGTATAGGCTCCTATCATGCTTCACGTGCACGAGAATTGCCTCCCCACAGCTCCCACCGGCACGCGCATGCTCGTGCATTTAGATCACTACGGTCACGCTCAGTCCTGTTATGATCCTCACACAGTCTTGATTACTCAAAATGCTGTTCATAAGATGATTGATATTATTAACAAAAACTTATTTTGAAATACTTGTATTTTCATACAATATATTTCATTTTTCAGAAGGCTAGTGGTGTTGCGGTCAAATAACAAATTATTTAATTCAGTGCTGTGATATATTGACTCTTCAGACATATGAGCTCATCTTGTTGGGATTTGTTTATCTGTGTAAACAGATAGATAGGTGAGATAATCCAGCCAGTTCACCAAGTGCAATGCGCGTTCACGATTCAGTAGTACAGTCGCAGTAGCAGTCGCGCACGAGCTCGAATACCGGCTGCAGCCGGTATAAAATCTGCCAAGCTTCAGTGAGAGGAAACAGAGACAGAGAGCTGGCAGATAATACTTGATCTAGTATAATATCAGTATTTATAAGTTGTTAATGTAGTCGAACATAAACTAGGAAACGATATAGTTAAATATGTCACTCGGTTGGTTGTGACTTACTAACGACTCGCGCTCTCCACAGGAGTGACTGCGGATGCTCAGGGCAGAAACGATGATCTCTGGTTAACACTTTAATAAAGAAGCCAGCTAGAGGAGAGCTGTTGGTTTTTGTTTTCTTTCAACATCCCGAGTTTTCCGCAGTTTCTTCAACGTCTCGGTAAGTTAAAACGATTTATGCCCAAAGTATAGCATTTGAATGCCGTTTTTTCTAGCGCGTCTAAGGACAGATGCCCTTATTGCCATGATAAAGTTACTTATTGCGTCACATGATGTACTATTTTATGATAGTAAGCTAGGTCATTTATTGACGTAATTAATTGAATAATGCCTGTGTCAGATATATATATATATATATATATATATATATATAATCAAATGTAAATGTATTTCCCCGTTACACTTTATTTTCCTGGTTTAATAAACTTTACATACAAAAGAGACTAAATAAAAATCTGTTTTGTATTTTACACTATGTAATGTTCTATTTATTAAAACCAAGTATAAATGTCACCAAATTAGTGTTTTTATGCATTTTTGCATTTATTCCAAAATAATCACTAAAGCCTGTAACAATTGTATACAATATTTGTGAACTGAAGTTCAGCTACTTTTTTTTAAATATTCAGCTTATTTTCAGTAGTCATCAAGCTTGTTCACAAGGTCACAGACACGAAGATGTAAGTTACCTTTAATTTCCCCAAGCTGATTGGTCACAGTAAAACAACAACAACACATTCATCATGTTTTCAAGTTTGATTTTGACATAAAGCAGTGATATATAAGTGGCTGAGTTGCTTACTTACTTTTTTATT